TGAAATCTGGAATTTTGAAAACTTCGACTTTGATAACTTTGATCAGTAGAATCCAAACTACAATTGTTGAATTCAGCATCTATATCACAAGCAATGGAGCTAACTTGAGTTCTACGATTAGGTTTAATATTGAGTTTCTTAAAAACTCCCTCTGAGGCCTTTACATCCTTGATTAAATCTTCCACGGTAGTGTACTTATTCAAAGCAAGTCTCTCAACAAATTCAGTTTTCAAATTTTTTTGAAGCCATTTGATTTTTGTAGATATTGCTGGGGGAGAACTTAATCGATTAAAGAGCTGTTCCATAACTGCCACAAATATAACCACCGGCTCATCATCAAATTGCTTGCGATGATTTATCGTTTCCCAAACTTCCTCAACATAGTCTTTGCTCAAAAAGTCTTGTTGTAGTCTTTTAGTTAGAGTGTCCCAGTCTTTAACTAATCACGTATCCTTCACATGGCGAAGCCATAGTAAAGCTTTCCCAGAAAATAAATCAACTGCTGCCCCATATAGCTGTTGCTTTGTGACATGCCTAGCCTCTGCTAATTCATCAACCCGCTCTAAAAATGATTTAACTCCCAATGATTTCTTAGACCCATCAAATTCAATGTCCCACTTATAAACTGAAACTGGTTTAGTGACAGGAGGTATAACGATGTTAGGTTGGAATTGAACTGATGTGCTGGGTATAGCAGGTGACGGTACACTTGCTGCAGCAGCGGCTGCGCGTTCAGCTTTTTCCTCTAAATCGGCCTCTAACGTCAGACAAGTTGCATAAGTTTTATTTTCATAATTTACTTGATCAGGTTTCGTAGGATCTACTACCATTCTCTTTGAACGCATCAAAACATGATTTAAGCGAGATTCATAACGAGCATAAGCAGAATCAGCAGCAGTGCTGTCAAAGTCATTAATAAGTGTTGTTAGACTATTCAATGAATTATTTATCTGGGTCTGATCAGTATCAAACGTGTAAGTTGGAACCTTCAAAGACAAAACTGATATTTCCTCTTTCTTTTCCTTCCTTATAGTTGTTGACAGAATTTTACGTTTCTCATTCATATCACGAGACGTGATAATTCCCCTAATCCGAAGCTCATAATTAAGTTCCTCTATTAATAGGTGTCCGGACCTAATGTCAGATTCCATGGTTCAATAGATGAAAAAACTTTTTATAAATTGAAAAATATGTTTCCAAAAGAAACTCTGAGTTCCAAAAGGATTGCCTATCCCACACAGTTCAGCCCAAAATGTTATCTTTAATCTCAAAAAATTTGTTTGGACCTATCAATATCGAGCCAAAAAATTTAGAACCTCCAGAGGAGTTCCCATCCAACCATCACAAATCAAAAAGTTCTTTAAAACTGTACAAAAAAATATTTCCGAAATTTTAGGGTGATTGGTTGACAGTCTCAAGACCTAAGAGGAGTACCTATCTAGTTAATGAAAACCAGAAGAGTTCTCTTAAACTCTCAAGGTCTGGGAACTATCAACATCAGCCAGCAAAATCCAAAATTCAACTTCAATAAAGTTACCAAGTTGGTCTATGAAAGCTAAACTGAGGTCTCTTAAACTCTAGAAACTACTAAAACTTTCGACTCTCAATTGCTAATTTCCTTTTCCAAGAAAGTAAACATTTAGCCAATACCAGCTAGAAGAGCCCTCTTGAACTTCCAAAACTCTGAATTACTCACAAAAGTATGCTAATACTGGGGTCAGAATAATGTTCAACCTTTTTTTTTTTTTTTTGGTGGGGGAAAATCCTTCATGGACTCCGGTCGCTCGGTGTTCTATCGCGATCCGGTTGTGTCGAACTCCTACCGACTAAAAACCCCCTTTTCTGCCTGCTATTGTATTCGGAACCGTCTTTCAGACATAACGTCGAATACAATTGGCTTGTCTGTTCTGGTTGCTATCTCTCATTGCTCTTCTCTTTGTCTCTCTCTTTCGTCTATTTCTTTTTGGTACATAATTCTTTTAATCATACGGGCGAGGATATCGAAGTTTCTGCGTTTTTCTGTCATTTCTCCTACTAGATTGTTTGTATCGAAGGCGGCTCCTATACTTGTCCTGGCTTCTTCTCTTATACGTTCCCACCTCTCGCATATGATTAGTGTATGTTCTGGAGTGTCTGTTTCGCCGCAGTATGGGCATGTGTCTTCTTCCTTGCCTATCCTCACTGTGTATGTTTTGAATGATCCGTGTCCTGTAAATGCTTGCGTGATCCAGTAGTTCGTTTCTGCGTGTGCACATTGTGTCCACTCCGCGATGTTCGGGATCAGTTTTTTTGTCCACTGTCCTTTCTCTGTGTTTTCTGTCCATCTTTCCTGCCACTTTTGCATAGTTATTTCTTTTGCTCTCTTCATCGTAGTCTCTTTCGTTTCTTCTCCAACATGTTCGAAGATATATTTTCTTTCCTGCACTAGGAGGTCTATGGGTGGTATTTTAGTAATCACCTGTATTGCCACAGTTGAGGCTGTCCGGTAGGCTGAGGCTACCCTAAGAAGTGCTCTCCTCTGACATCTCTCTAGTATGTCCTTATATTTTTCAACTCTGAGTGCCTCGTACCACGTGGGTGCCCCGTAGAGCAAGATCGATTGCGTTACTCCATATAGCAGTCTTCTCTGGTTGAATTTGGGTCCTTTTATGTTCCGCATCAGTCTTGCCAATGTGGCTGTTCTGCTATTCGCCCTTTCTGCAGTCTTTTTAATATGGTCTCCGTATAGCCCCCATCCGTCCATATGTACCCCTAGATATTTTATGGTTTTTGTGGGTACGATTTCTCTGTTTTGTATCTGAAGCTTGATTCTTTCCCTGATCTTGCTACTTCTATTACCTGCCAGTATTATGCTTTCAGTTTTATCAAGGGCTAGTTGTAGGTGATGTTCGGTCATCCATTCGTTTGTTGCTGCCATGGCCTCGTTTGCTTTTCTGATGAGTTCTCTTACGTATCTGTCCGTTACGAAAATTGCTAAGTCATCTGCAAATGCTATTGTTATGACACCTTCTTCCTGTGGGATTTTCAATATTCCGTCGTACAGGATGTTCCATAGCGTCGGTCCCAACACGGATTCTTGTGGCACTCCAGCTGTTACATTCATATTCTGCTCCTTCCTGTTGCTCAGGTAGCTCTGTATTATATTTATCAACCCTCCTGATATTTCCATTTGTCTCATCTTGTTTATGATCATATCCCATCTCGCCGAGTTGAAGGCGTTTCTGATGTCTAATGTTATCAAGACTGCCCATTTTCGGTCTCTTTCTGTCTGTTTTGTCTCATCTCTTATCCAGTTTAGTGCGTGTATTGTAGATTTTTTCTTCCTAAAGCCTTATTGGAATTCCGACAGGTTTTGGTTTGTTTCCATTTCTTCTTCCAGCCTCCTCTTGATTATTGACTCGTATAGTTTTCCTAGTACGTCCAGTAGGCAGATCGGCCTGTACGAGGTCACTTCTTCTAGTGGTTTCCCTTTTTTCCAGATTAAAATCAATTTTGCCTTTTTCCATATATCCGGAAATCTTTGCTCCCTGAGCAGATCGTTCATCATTTCCAGGATGATTTCGGGAATAGTTTTCACTATCTTCTTCACTGCTTCTGGTGTTATGTGGTCCAAACCTGGTGCTTTGTTGTTTTTTATGTTTGTACATGCGATTTCTAGTTCTCCTATAGTTATTGGATTTATATTTACCTCTCTGTCTACCCGTCTTTCCCAGTCTACTCCCTCAAGTAATAGTGACTTTGCTATTTCCAGCTTGTCTTCTTCCGTGCGGTTAAAATGTGTTGGCGATATTTTGAAGTGTTTGGTCACCATTCTGTATCCCTGCCCCCATATGTCCTCGTCCAATTCATGGAGTATTTTTTCCCAATTTTCTTTTTTTGACTTGTTTATCAGCGATTTCAGTTCCTTCCGGAGTTCTTTATACTGTCGTTCAATTTCCTCCACCTCCCCGTCTATGTTTTGTCCCCTGGTTCTAGCTCTTGTTTTCCTTCGTCTCGTTTGGTTACATTGTCGTCTTTTTCCTTCGATTTCTCCGGTCCACCAATATGGGTAGCCCTCCCCGCTGTTTACCTTTGTTGTGGAGTTTCTCACTGTGTCTTTCAGTATTTTTATGAGCTCTTCGAGTTCTCTCTCGTCAATCCTATCTATATTTGCCTTCAGCAGGTCTTCCAATTTCCCCACATGTAAGACCCATTTGCTTGGATTTCCTTCACTCCTTCTTTCCATCCTGGTTTCTACCAAGATTGGTTTATGGTCTGATAGGATTTCGTCATCCAGAATTTTCCATTCCTTTACTAGCTGGGCATTCGACCTATTCGTGCACGTTATATCTATGTGTGATTCGTATTCCCCTCGGGTGAATGTGGCTTCTCCTGTGTTACAGGCAATCATATCTGTTGCGCTTAGATGTTCGTCCCAATATTCCCCCTTAGCGTCTGTAGCTGGTGATCCCCATGTTGTAGACTTTGCGTTTATGTCCCCTACTATCATCGTGTATTTAGTGTTTGTTCTTACTCTGTCAAAAATGTTGTCTGCAGTGGTTTTGAATTCTTGTATGTGTATGTTGGGGGAGATGTAGCAATAGCATAGCATCATCTCTTCCAATTCTATTATTATGAACCTATTATACTTTTCAGTTTTTTTTACCCCGCAGTCCTTGTTTGGAAAGAACACTGCTACGTTTTGGTTGTTATCCTTTATCCAGCTTTCCCTTTTTGTCAGTATTTTGTTATGTTCGCTAACCACTATCATGTCTACTCCGTGTTTCGCGGCTAACTTGAATGCTAGGTCGTGGGCTGCCCTCTTCCGTCCTAGGTTTGTTTGTAGTATCTTGAGGCCTGTTAGTTTATTTCTGCCGCCTCCGTCGGCTCATCGATTTCGATTTCTTTTTCGTTATCTCCTCCTATTTCGTTGTCTCTGTTTGTCTCCCGTCTGATCCGTGATATTGCTCTGCGGAACGATTTGCATCCCGTTGTTCCTGCTCTATGGCCCTCCTTTTGACATATAGGGCATGGTATTTCCGTTTCCTCACACTTTTTTGCTATGTGGCCTTCTTTTCCACACTTATAGCATAGATTTTTTCTGTCTGGTCCATCGCATTCCTCCTTGCTGTGCTCATACGCCCAGCACTTGCTGCATCTTGGTACTTTTATTCTCCGTTCCATCTTCCCTCTCGAGAGGCCAATACGTATATATGGTTGTTTCAGGAGAATCTCTGCTTTCTCTTTCTCGAGGGTTACTGTTATTGCCTGCGTGTTTCGCGCATTTGGTCTCAGCTCGCTGATTCTGATATATTGCGTGTCTAGTTCTCCTACCATTTTTTCGATATGCTCCACTACCTCTTTTTTGGTGGCTGTGATGTCCAGTCCTCTTATGTGTATGGTCTCCTGGTCTCTGCCGGTTTCTTTTACTCTTAAAGTTCCAGCGGCTTCTTCTATCGCTTTTTCAATTTTCCCCATTTCCGGTTTGTTGTCTTCCATCGTGATGAGGACATTTTCGTCTTTTCTCTTCCTGATCGATCGGATTATCTTTGTAGCTTCGTTTCCTTTCAGTTTCATTTTTATTTCCCTCACCGTATCTTCGTAGTTCTTTCCTCTTTGTTCGACTTTCAGAGCTGGTGGTCTTTCTCGTTTCCTTTGTTGCTGTGCCATAATTTTCCTTTTGTTTGTGTATATTATTACTTGCGTTTCCGTTTTATGGAAAACTGCTTCTGCTAGATTTCTTAGATGCTCCGTACCGCTTCTTTCTATGTGGTGTATTGCTACCCATTTGTCTCCTCTAGTTTCCTCTCTTAGCTCTACCAATCTTTTCCATAGGGTTCCCTCCTTCTCTCCTTGATCTATTTCAACCATTTACTGCGCAAATTTTTTCATTTCGACAAAAAAATTAAATGAGATGTATTTTTATGCAAAGAAACACAGAAAATGATTAAAAAAATCGCAATTGATGGTCAATATTTTTTTTTCAATTTTTTTATTGTGTAGCATATATGCTACGAAACGTGTTGTGATAATATCATCCAGAGAAGGAGATAATGAAAAAATGAACAGGATTTCATTGTTTTACAAAAAAAAAACATAAGTCTATGAAATATGAAACAACTAGTTAGTATGGAAACGATTGAAGCAGTTTTTGTTCTTATTGAAACATAAACTGGCATTACACTTCTCACATTTTATGAATGTGAATCCCTTACATTCAGGGAATCTGCATCGCAAACGCTTATCCATCCAAATAGGAAAGTGCGATGTATCATCAGTTCTAACATCTTTCGGAGGTAATGAACTTCGTCCAACTTTTCTGCCATCTTGAAGTTTTTCCTCTAAGTCTGATTTACGTCCACGTTGGCTATTTCTGTGGACCCCCATCATGCAGAGCGCCTGACCCACTTCAATTCTAAAATCAGCTAAACCCAGTAATGTTATGTTACCTCTGTCATTTCCAACACGTTTATACAAAAACCAGGAATTAACAACCGCCATATCCAAAAGATGATAAAAGAGTCGAAAGTACCACTTCTTAGACTTAATCTTTATTTGGTACCGTCCAATTAAACTATCCAATAAGTCGACTCCTCCCATATGTTTGTTGTATTCTCTCACAAGGTAAGGACAATCAACTTCGATCCTTGTATTCTCTTTCTTGTCATACCTTTCCACCTTGCATTTTGGTAATGTTCCAGCATATGTAGAGGCCAATACCACTGATTTATTATCCTTCCATATAACAGAAGTCAGAGGTATACCATCCATTTCAGTTAGAAATTCTCTGCTGTCACCACGGGTTGCCTTCTTCATAATCTCATCACTCGGAAGAGGACAATTCGGAATACGATTTCTTCTCATTGTTCCTAGTGCGTGAATGCCATAATTCGCCAATTGTACGAGTAGAGGGATTGTTGTATAATAATTATCGAAGTATACACGATAATTCAGGTTATGAGGAATATTTTGTAGTAGTCTCACTACAATATTTGCACATGCACCCAAGTCTTCCTCAGGTGTGTTCGGCTTATTCTCCTGACCAGTGTAGACTCCAAAATTATAGGAAAATCCTGAAATGCCGGAAAGGACGAACAGTTTATAACCCCATTTGTGAGGTTTAGCGGGCATGTACTGCCTTAGATAATTCTTTGCTTTGGTAGCACACATCTGTTCATCAATTGACAAACAGGACTCGAAGGCAACAGTCTGATATCTTGTTATGAGGTGGTTGATGACTGGCCGAATTTTATGTAGACGATCATGATTCACATCATTTCTTGGCACCATTGTGGTGTTATCATTGAAATGCAGATTTCTCCTAATTTTCTCGAAATGCTTTTGTGACATTGTGTTTTTGATAATGTCCACACCAATAGATGATGACCAATAGCTTCTGACGCTTGGTAAATGTATAACAGACATCAAGATACATATACCAATATATCTCTTGATATCCAGCTCTGTCAATTTTGCAGGAGCATTTGGGAGAATTTGAGTAGAAAATAAATTGGATTGTTCCACCATTATTAAAATCAAATTGTCATCAAAAAAATATCGAAAAAACTCATAAGGTGTGTGCAGCTCGTATAGTGATTGTATTAGCTTTTCACTACCTCTGAACTCTATTGAATCACTTTGCATCACCAGATTTTCCTCCCTCCATTGTAATTTTTCAAGAGTTTCTTTCGTTCCACTTTTTCTTAGTTTATCACGTGATGTGTTTTGCTTCTTTTTGGGATTACTAGGGATATTATCCTTATCTTCAGTTATTTTTCTTTTCCTTGTTCTTCTACTTTGAGTATAACATTTTGAGTTTTTACTTTTCATAGTTGGTGTTGACTGTTTATCTCTATTTGGGGATGAAGATAATTCATTACCCTCCTCCGTTTCTCTGTATTTTTCTTGTAGTGGAGGGATAGTATTCTCGACCGGTCTTATTTCTTCCATTTGATTTGAATCAGAATCAGTATTTTCATCCATACTCAATAGATCATGTGACGAATCAGGTAGAATTATCATAGGCATATTTTCAATGTCGAAAAAATCATCTTGTTCTTCCCCACATGGATCGTAATGACTGTCGAATATTTGGAGAGGGTTCGAATCACTATCCTCATCATCTTCATTACTAATCAAACCATCATCGCTCAATTTGGATAGATTATCAGCAAAATATTCTAATTCTTCTTTCGTGAGACTGCGAATGTTTTTGTCCATTGTCCTTGAAGAAGAAATGAAACATCACCATACGCGCAGTGTATCATATATGCAACGATGCTCATCATACTTGAAATGTGCATTGTAGCAGATATGCAACATAGATTTGAAATGACTTATAAACAAGAATTTTAGGTTTCTATGTAACAAGTGAAAAATGATTTGATCCTTACCTTTCCTGAAGAGCCACAATTTTTTTGAGGTTGAATTTATCGAAGAACAGTATCAAAATTCAGATCAAATACGCGGTATTAGCACACCTGTCACTCAACTGCGTGGTCGCTCTGCACATCTGAAATCTGTGATTTTGTGCTGCCACCTGTGTTCCAGAAACACATGTACAATCGAAGAATACTTCCAAACTAGAAAGTCGGTAATAGAAACCTTCTCAATTTTCAACTATAAAGCTAAAGCTTAATAATAAATGTGGTGTATCAGATATGCTACAGTGCGCACTAAAGGGTTGATGATTTTCTGAACTGTGGAATCGTTTTGTTTGAGTTTCCATCTGGAACTTATTTCTAAAACTGCGAAATGATCTGTTGTTTCCATGAGTTCTGGGTACTTTTCTCTGTATAGGTGTTGTATGCTCCTCTCCATCTTTTTGTCCGTCGGTTCTATTAGTACTACTTTCACTGTCGATGTTTTTGTATCCAGTGGGTTTCCTACCTTTATTTCTGTGTTTTGAAAGAGCTCTTCCCCCCATTCTTTATTTGCGATGCCCAGCCATTTCTCGTAGGTATCAATCCCTTCTAGTGATTGGCATAAGTTCTCTCCCCTTTCCTCCCTTTTCGAATTGCATGTTGCGCACGTCGATATTGTGATTTCTTCTCGAGCAGTTAAGTCCGACTCCTGTTTCCTTAGTCTACTTTCCCTTTCCTCTAGGGTCTTTCGTTTTGCTTCTAGTTTCTCCTCTAGTTTATCTAGGGTTTTTTGTCTGGTCCTTATGTCTCTTCTTTCGTCTTCTAGTTCGCTCGTGTGATTTCCTAAGCCTCTATCATGTGGAATATCTGTTCTCGTTTGGGTATCCACATCAATTGTCATTTTCTCCACTGGCTCCATCTTTCTCGCCTCCAGCCATTCAGTTACAATTTTTCTATTTATGAGTTCTGTGACTTTCTTCATCTGCGTGGCTAGTTCTTTTATCTTTTTATGAGTGTTGGGTGTATCGGCTATGAGTTTCTCCATTTCCATATGTTGTTTCTTGTTCATTTTTATTGCTTCCTGCAGAGTGAATACCTCCGAACTCTCTCTTTCCTTGTATGGGTTTGCGTCCTCTGATTTGTTCGCTTTTCTTTTTTTTTTCTATCGCATCACCTGAGTCTGAGTTATTTCTCGCCAATCCTATGCTTTTTCCGGGTATCAGTAGTCTTTTTGCCTGAAGGCCTAATGGCTCTATTTTCTTTCTGTCCTTGTTTGTTTCTCTTCCATGGTCTTCCTTTGTAGGAATAATGTTCAACCTAAGGGAAAGTACAGATTATACCCAAGTTTCAGCAGTATGAAACTCACAAAATTTTGACAATGTACACGAACTTCTTAGAAGATTCGGATTTAATCAAGTAGCTATGTGCTAATACATGGGTCAGAGATTTTCAACCAAAAGGGAACTCAACACATGCCCAAGTTTCAGCAGTATGGAACTCAGAAAAATATTTTTCCAAAAAAAATTTGATCAATCAGTAGTTCCTTGTACTACTGCAAGAGAAAATCAATAAGACCTGCAAAGCGTCAAACAAGCTGTGGGTCCCCACTGTATTATCAAAAAGGAAGAGCCGCCAAAGAAATTCCATGTACACTAAAGTAAATCCGCTTTTGATTTATTATATATCCCCAACACTCTGTATTATTATGTCAATATTTGTTCAAAATTTATAAGTGAAAATGAAGATGATTTCCTGGTAGAAAATATGTTTCTCACCCAAAATTCCAATGATCCTGTAGTTGGATTCCAATCAGCTTGAATTAGAATTCCAATCAGCTTGAAGTTGATTTCCGATCAGCATGAAGTTGAATTAGAATCAGCTTGTCCTGATGAAGATATCTACAGTCAAGAGGTACTGACAATGCTCTGCACTACTGCTACAGTTGTTTACTCCCTACTGAATTTGAATTCCAGAATATTCCTTCCTCAGGTAGTCAACTTTTCTTATTATAACCTAGTAAAAAAAAATACAGCCTATATACCACTAGAATATCATCCCAAAATGTAGTATGAAAATTGATAAGATTTTGAAAAACAAAAAAATAATTTTTATATTTTAGGACATCTATATTTTTCACTCAAAAATTTCGGAGCCCCACGTTGGGCGCCAATTTACTGTAACCACCTCTTAGTGACATTTATTTACTAATAAAAAAAGTGAAACTCGAATGGTTACAGGCACGGTAGCTCTTATGCCTGGTGGCAAAAGGGTCGGTTGACTTCAATATTTTAGACTTTTTTAAAAAATATATATTCAGGTAGGCGCCACCCAATTTGATTTATTGGAACTGGAAAAATGTAGTTATGCAAATTTCATAAATATTAGGAGATATAGTGAGGTATTTGAACTGCTGGAAAAAATATAAATAAGAACAAGATAGGTGAACTTTGAGGCCACTTTTAATTCTGGTAAAGATTCCTTCAAATTGACAAAGGTATAAATATGACCACTGTTACCAGGTGAGTTATAAACATTCATAAAGCACAACCTATGTGCTACCTTCATAAAATGCTAGCAAATCAATTTACATAACATATAATCTCATGGACATACCTTCACTTATTCAAACGGATACCCCCTTCTTATATTGGCCAATATAGTCTGAGTTCACACTGTGTCTGGAGACTAGTAATACCTCATAACTTGTGAATATCTACCTAATATTATTACTCTACAGTCTACATGTATGAAGCGATCTCAATGATATATTATAATGCGAAAAAGTTGATTGAGTGAAGAATATGTAATTCTAATAAACCTGAGTGAAAAATATGTAACTATAGTTAACCAAAAGAAAACGAGAAAATGAATTTGACTCAATGGTTGGATCTGACCTTCACTCGGAACATCCTGGAATCTTCCAATGGGAATCCTTGACAAAACTACTGGCCTCAGAAGTTATCTTCTACCATTATTTGCTGAAAATGTGGATTTTAACATCCTGGAATGAACCCTTTCGGTCTCCAGCTGGTGTCCACAGTAGCTGCCAAGGTGTGCCCCTCGTGGCACGTCTCTCGAAAACCCACCAGGGTGAATATAGAGGGACAACCTCACCAAAATCTTCTGGAACCAAAAGAATGGAACAGGCGAGACTGGAGAAACAGGCGAGACTGGTGAAACAGGCGAAACGTGCGAAACGGACGTAACGGACGAAACGGACGGCTCTTTCTTCAGCCACCTGCAATGGCTGCCTGGATGATGAAGACCAACAAATCTGTAAAATAAAACCCCAAAACCTGTAGTGAAATAACCCCTTGAATTTACCCAAAGATGTCTTACCTTCCCGAAGGAATGGCCCACAGAAAGAAGGTGGAGATGATCACTCCACAAAGGTTGGAAAACCAAGAAATGCCGATTGATTTCGACATCGTGGAGCAGTACTCAGGAAAGCCCAAAAAAGAAGAAGGCGTAAAAGAAAATATGTTCACATATCCTGTGCAGAGCCTTCTTGATAATTATTATGAAAAAACAGTTGTAATTCAAATACGAATCTGCGCAATGACATGAGACAGAAATATTGACAATCACATCTAGGTTGCCAGATCAAACATTCGGGAATAATCCACTGTTGCCAGCCCTCTCAGACCTATTCTGACGACAGAAACGTACTAAACTGCACGGAGCGAGCTTATTGTACTGAACGGATTGGAATGAATAACCCAAACGAAAACGATGCACTAGTGGATTGTTATTACTCCGTCAGGGCGTCATCTTAGAACATACCAAAATTTTACACAGTTGAAATCCATCACATACTGTTTACTGTTTGAATTCTAGGCCAACAATGTTCACAATAATTCTGACATGACTGCGAAATTCACTTTTGTTAACTGAATGAAGAAAATAAACCATCAAAAGACAACCAAAACAAAACATATTTTCCACCAATATGAGGGAATACCCTGTTATCATTCAGTGATGAAAATGGTCTCATTTGGATTAAGCAAAGAAAGGTAGCAATAACAATACAGAGTGTTAAATATCAAAAAGGCAAAAATTCTTGTTACAAATTTCTCGTTAATGTGAAGACTTAGGAAAAATCAAATATTTTAGTAATTTTTGTTAGACTCTCTCATATATATGTCTTGAATATATGCACTCATTTTAAAATAAGCCTGTATATTGATAGCATTGATACTCAAAATGTTCACTGTGGTATCCGATGTGTGAATTTGATCTGCTTCCAAGATACGATTGCTGAATCCCAATAATCCACCAATTGAATTATCAGTGAAATTGATCCTCCTCTTTGTATTATCTTCGACTCTAGAAGATATAATGTCCTGGAGATCACTGATTCCATAGGATTCCACTGAAATCGTGATGGAATTATTATTGTCACCAAAAACAAATTGATTATTTTGTTCATCAACATTGGGAATTACATTGAAGGTTTCGAAACTAGTAAGTCCTATTCCATATTCAGTATTTTCCTCCAGATGTATAGCCGGATTGAAATCCGAACTGAGCACAGAGGATGAATCAGATAATGAAAATGTTAGCGACATTATTCATGATGTACTACATGATTTTCAAGTGTGGTACATATTATATAAGAATTCGAGGCAGTGTTGACCACAATTATAAGGATTGTCCAACTGGAAATCATTATAATTGAATTCTACGTTGTTAGAACTACCATCGCTGTAAAAATATTCGATAAGTTCTAGAGGAGGTCTCAAGTTGCCATAACTATCAAAGTACAAGATATTTTGTCTTGATTTGATATAACATACCCAATGTGATGTTGTCAAGATTGGCAATTTATCCAACATGTACACTGCTGGGAAATGTGGTGTTTGCAGTTTTTTAACATATTTCAATGAATCTACATTTGTCAATGGACGGCGTGATAGCTTCATTTTCAGTTTCTTGAATGTGGTTTGAGGAATAATCCATAACCACGTTTGTAAGGTTTCAAGAACAACCCTTTATCCAATGATTGCTGTTCCATCTTCAAATCATGAAGTTTTTGTTCATCCAGCTGTTCTTTTGCCGCTCTAGCTTTGTTTATGGCTTAAGCGATTCCTGCTGCCCCTCCTCCAAGACTACCAAGAGCACCAAGAGCGGCAAATAGAGGAATTAGTGGAATGAACCCTCCAGATTTTGGAATAGGAATGATTTTTTTCTTTGGTTTCAAAACTTTCCTATTGCCAATAGAGGATAATGCTTGGTGTGCAGCGCGAAGTAAATCAATATTTTTACCTTTGACACTATTTCGTGCTTTTCGAATCACTTGATTGAAAGTAATCGCACCTCCTTTTTCCAATCCCATTCCTAGTTTACTCTCAGTTTTCATTATTCCTGCGATTCCTAGTGATGCGATTTTCTCACCAAGATTAGACTTCTGATTGTTCAAACGGCTCAATGCTCGCTCAGCCACAATGCGATCGGCTTTGTTTCTTCTATTCAAATCTCTGTATTTGGAATATGATATATCGTGTTCTTTACAGGCTTTGTCTAATTGATTGATTCCTTTGTCTTCACGGGCAAGTCGCTCAGATAACTTTGTTCCCGGTCCACAAAAATGATAACCAGGTAGATGCAATTCGAGAGGAAGTTTATCTATAAGAGTATTCAATGAACCTGATCCTTTCACTGCGACCTACCTCAACGCTCTAAAAACTTAGTCGCATATAAACCGGCTGTCAGAATGACAAACGGGTAGTTTGCCGCTCGCTACAGTGAAGATGGGGGTTTCGATAGGAAGAAAAATCGTTAAAAATTAATTCTCATGGTAAATGGGCGCCAGATAAATTTACCCTTGGCACACACTCTTCGTTACTGATCAACTCACCAAATTTACCAAATTGAGTTGATGAACAAGAAAAACAACTCGGTATATCTATAACAACTTCAGTTTGATTATAGGAAAACATATTATACAAGACCTCAAATTTCAAGGTTCAAGAATAATTATACCTACAATGAACAGTAGTACTCATCAATGGAAATGATAACAATTAACTTAAATGATTCAAACCCTGATCCACTGTCTCACTTGAGAAACGAAATAAAGTTCACCCCATATGATAGGGTATGTGTTTTACCAGCGCTGGTATACCTAAATGGGTGAAATATATGAGAGGTGTGGAATCAGAAGTGAACACTCAATGTAAGTAAAAAAAAAATCAATGAACTATCTTAATAATAATAAGTAATTGAAGTTCGAACATAAGTTCTCCAGTTAAAATAATGAATCAAATTTTAAAGATGAATTCCCAGTGATAAAAACTCAAATCGAATTTAAGAGATAAATTTCCAGTGAGAAAAACTTGCGTGCAATCCCACGACGAAGTCTGATGTCTACAAGTCAGTTGCAGACTGCTGGAATAGTTTTGATAGTATCTGCGACTAGCAGAAGATGGTAACTGCAGTCCAAGTTCGGCTGATGCTGGTTCGAATACAGCAAAGTTAAACCTGGGCCGAACAACCAGGAATCTTAAGCCTTCAGATTTTAACACCAAGCACGACGTGAAATATAAGCAGACTTATGCCATAAGGGAAAAACCCTGTGAAGGAATAAGCTGAATTACACGCTATTCCTTACTTGTTCGACAATATTTCTGTACTCAGGTTGTCATTAAGAAAAAACTATCAAAACCCCATTACATTGAAATTGAACCATGATATCATCAAATAATGATCTGTAATCTCGAGCAGAACATGTATAGCCCTTTTGTTCACTTTTCATGATTTCACCCTCATAACCAACTCAAATATCCTCAACATTTCAAGTATATGACTAAATCATCCCCAATAAATCCATTATAGAAAGATAAGTAAGATTCCTCTTGAAAACTTCAGGTATTCCCACCCTGTATAGATGTCGTTCTCAAGAATGTATTATAATTCTTATTGAGTAGGAAAAGCCCTTCAACAATAAACTGTTTGAAAACTTTGAGTGGTGACACCCTGTATAGTCCCAGAAAATGGCAAAGTAATTTCTATCAACTTATAAATGACATTAATAAAATCCAGCTTGGAAACTCAAGTGATGCCACCTTGTATCAAAGAACTATCAGAACACCATTACCTTGAAATTGAACTATCAGTGAATACAAGCTGGATAATAACAAACAGTTTGAGATTACTAGGAAATGTAGACAGCTGGGTACGAAATCTTAGCACTAACATCTATGCAATAATTCCACTGAGAGGAAGTTATATCTATGAAAAGGGCCACAACTGTAGAGTAACTAGAACCTCTATGCCCTGTGGTACAATCAGAAAACTTCAGGGCCCCCTTGTAATGATCAATTAGAGCTGTAACTCTATATGACTAACTGAAACAATACATTATACCCCTGAACAGAGACCTAGGTACCCCATAAATAGCAATAGGCCACCCTGTCTTACTTGAGCTCTTAGAAACAACTTTGAACTTTCAGCCCCCCTCAAAGGTCAGTTTGCACAAACAACAGTACTGATAGATTACCAGCAAATAAAATGTGTAGCACACACTTACCCGAGTGTCAGTGGGGTTTGTTTCTTCTATAACCTACCAAGGTGTCTCAGGTATCCTGTATCAGATCTTATTTCTGTGGAGATGTTTGAGAGGTTAGGTTATGTTATAGTGGTTCAACTTGGTCGTTCTTGCTAGCTGGCTGTGGACAGACGAGGTGATTCTGGAGATATACTACTGATTATGCTGGAGATATGATTGATAAAAGACATTCTCTCAACTGTGGAACGTACCTTTATGCAGTTGCTTGGGTGTACACAGGTATTGAAATCCCGAAGACGGCAATAATTTTGAAACGTATACTCAAAATATGCTAATGACAAACCCAGTACGTTTCAAAATATGAATTTCATATGGGCAGAAAATATCCCAATATATGGATGAATAAAATATTCATGAATATCTACCAATATATATATATACCATACGACACCATCAGCCTGTGCAAAATGATCGAAGGAAGTGACTCACAGGGTGCGTTCCACTAGGCGCTTGCAACGCTCAAGACGCTCCTTTAGTCTTTTCACATTAAGACCACGGTCGTTATGGGCGTGCTGAATACGTCATAAATGACGTCATTGTTTTCGATCAAAACAAGCTCACGGCGACCCATGTCTTGAGGTGGTATAAAGTGGCAAACGAGCGTTTTGAACGTTTTGAGCGCCTAGTGGAACGCAAACGCAGTGCAAGCTCAATGATGGCGACCGAAACAATAACGTTGTATGATTCAGAAAAAGATTTACTCCTAGATGTAAAGGTATCACCAGAAGATGCTAGGCGTGCAGAAAGAGGTAAATAATATTACAAATTGATGTTTTATAAATTTACCGTTTCCTGTTATCCTAAAATTTGAATCATTTCAGATATATCTTTTGCTACAGAGCTTTTAAAAACTGCTCTACAACAACAGTCATCAGAATCTTGCATATCTGAAGATAGTTCTATGGTCGATGTTTCCCACCATGGTTCTATGATAGAAGATCAGGATGGAGAACATATAGCGGACACAACTGATCCCGATGAAAGTCTTACTGAAGCAACTGAAGGTATTTTCTATTAAGCTTCTTATGACTTTTGTACTTATATAGCTTTCGCATATACCTAGGAAATAATGTTAAACTTTTCTTCCTTTATTTCAGTCTCTCTTTATAGGTGGAGTCCACCTTGTGTTATGTTATTATTGGAAACATACAGGAACATGGAAAACACTTTCAACAAAGGCAAATTGTCACATAAAAGACTGTGGAAAAAAATTTCAGCAGAGTTACTTGCCAAAGGATATAATGTCACGGGACCCCAATGTGCTTCTGAACTGAGAAGCTTAAAAAAAACTTATAAGGCAACTAAATACCATAATAATAAGTCTGGCAATGATAGACGTAACTGGCAGTTTTTTGAAGTAAGAAAAATATAAAACAATTAATAAATGATTGATAGTACCCATTAATATAACAAATTACAGATAATGGATTACATTTTTTCTGGAAAAGCATGGAGTAATCCTGTTGCCATTGCATCTTCGACGGGTCTCTTTATTCAAACCAACACTTTGAACAGTTTTGAGGGGTCAGATAGTGGATGTTCAACAAGTATGTTCGAGTTGATGTTTTCATATTTGTGTTGATGGTGACTGATAATATAACTCGATTGTAGACCAATCATCCACATCTAAACAGACCATTGTATCATTATTTGCGAAAAGAATGAAACAGAAGGAAGAACATGAAAAAAACAAGGCTGACCGACATAAAGAAAAAATGGAAATGGAAAAAAAGTGGTTAGAACTGTTACAACACATGAGTAACAAATAACTTTCGTTTGGAACAGTTTCAAGAATTATTGTTTTTTTTTAGTAGTATTATTCGATACTGACATACAATGATACTACTTTTCATAACTGATAAAGTTCAAATGGTCAGAAGTTCTCATAAACTGTATTATTATATTGTTGTGTTTCAAAGATATGTCAATAAGAAATGTTATTATTTTTTAATCACTGATGATAGTTCATAAGTTCTCCAAAACTTGAGTAAGATGATATTCAAGAGTTTCTTTAGCTTTATTTATTTTTTTAACATTATATTTCAGAATTGTGAAAACAAGTTTTCTGAAACTTGAGCTGTATTTTTTTCATTTGAAAGTTTCAAGAATCTTAATTTATTTTTGTATTATGTTTCGAAGTTATGGCAAGAATCAGTTCCAAGTCTTTCTGTGAATTTGGCTGTAATCATCAAATAAAGCGATAATTTGATTTATATTACTTATTTCAATTAGTGTTCCTTGAACATGTAATATTTTGATTTCATCATATTGATGATATGAGTTCATAGTGATTATAATAATTTGAAGAAAACAACAGTTGAATTTCAAAATGATAATATATTTACCAAAAAATGACGAAAATATCTAACTACTACAAAATCTCCATAATTCTATTTCGTTTATGAATTCCAACATTTTGTCCAACCCTGGGCTGAATATTTGCATTTCCTGGATTGAATTCAGCAATATTAATGACTTCCAGTTCATCTTGGTGCAGGATACAAATATTGTGAACAACACAACATGCAACAATATATTCAGCCATCAAATCCACTCTGGTCATTGGTAAACAATGAAGTAAACTCCTCATACGCCCTTTCAACAAACCAATACATCTCTCTATTGTTACTCTTGCAGCTGAATGATGGTAGTTGTAATTCTTTTGCCTTCCTGTTAAGTGTCCATTATCTCGGAATGGAGTCAATAAATGCTCATGTATTTCATAGGCTGCATCACCCAGAATATGACTGTCACTAGGAAATTTTTCATTATCATTCAAATAGTCATTAACTTCAGACAATCGAAAAACTCGTTGGTCATGTACAGATCCAGGGTGTCCAACATAACAATGTGTTATTGGAGCCTAATGGTCACACACTAGCTGTATAAAATAAATGAATTAGATACACAAATTTTCATTTTCAGGAAATCACCTGTCACTATAAGTAGGTAGGCACATAGAAGTTGTCAAATACCTGTAACTGAATGGAATGAAAACCTTTACGATCGACATAATCTGCTGCATTGTCTTTTGGAGCATCAATATGGATGTGGGTGCCATCAATAGCTCCAATAACTTTTGGAAATCGACTAGCTATTTCAAATCCTTGCATCACATAAATAGCATGATCTCCACTAGGCCACTGAATAAATGTAGGAGCTCTTATAAATAATGCATGAGTAACTCGTCGTACAGCTCTCACAGCAGTAGCTTTTCCAATATTGAATCTGTCACAAACTGATCTAAAAAAAGTGATTAGGTAAAAATTCTATTCAACATAAAAAACTATAATAGATGCATTATTTATTCTAACCATTACCTGTATGAATCCACCGTAGCCATTTTCCAGAGTGCTACCATTATTTGTTGGTGAGAAGGAATTGTAGAGCAACCTGGTACTTTTCTAGTCAAATCCTCACATATCAATTCATGCAAATAATTGAATGTGTCTCTTGAGATTCTATAAAGTGAAATCAATCTGCATATTTAGCATTCGAACATTGAAGTGGTCAATCCAAATGATATAAAAGATTTTACATACCTAAAATGACTTTTAAATTCAGCATCTGAATAAAGTTTGATAAGCTCCATGTAGTTGTTAATACGTGGACGCTTCTTCCGTTTACCTCTTTTTTCTTGCAATATTGCTTTCCACTCTTCCTCTGAACTTGATGAACTAGAGGATTCAGAAGTATTCAATCGTCGTTTTAGTGCAATGATTGCGTTATTATCATTTGGATTGAACATTTTTCTACTTTTATCAAATTCTTTGTTGACAACAAAAAACATAAAGGTTAATTGTCACATGTCATCACTCATCACGCTATAACAAGATTTTGAGAAAGCCCATTCCACTTGGTTGGATAACCACAACGCTCACGATCTATCATAGGTTAGTGGAACAAGAGTTACCGCGGTCGTGAGCGTGAGCGTTGTGTGTGTCTAGTGGAACGCACTCTCAGTGCAGTGTTGCCAACAACAAATTCTAAAAGTGGCTAGATGATGATTGGAAAAAAGGTAAATTAAGGCTAAAAATAACAGCCATTTTTGGCAAATCTAGCAATTTTTTTGCAATTTCTCTACTAAGAACACGGAATCTGACGGACTATGAATCTGACATTATTATAATACAAATTAAAAATAGATATACAGATATAAAATGACAAAATGAGCCACTCGAGTTCTGTGGAATTACCAGAACACTTAATTAAATGTGACGTCATTGTAAGTGTTCAGGAATCATGTACTTTTGAATTATAAACCAATTTCATCACATACTCATTAACTGTCAATATATTTTACCCCGCGATATCTATGCAATGCAAGAGGGAACTCCTGCAGAAAAACTGAAACCAACCGGTAAGTCCCTCGTTGCATTGCCGATCATCAATTTTCATTTAATGAACCAACATAATTAATACAGTCCACTGCTCTCAAACTCGTACATTTTTTGGTCCTTCGAGCCGGATTTGTGAATTTTGATGAAATTGGTTTCGTAACTAATAATCTCATATCAATTATCATTGTTTTCAGTTTTTTCATGCATACAAGTTTTTTCTTCATAAACCTCATAAATTTCGAATTTCCTATCGCTTGTCCGCGTTCTGAACGCGAAGAACCGAACGCGCAACGTACACACGCATCGAGGAGTGTCTAACTCTTGCCCGGGGCCATCTGACGCGAAATCGAAGATCGTATGCGCACCGCGCGGTATCTTCGTTTTCTCATCAATAATAATCAATAATCGATTTCGTTTTCGTTCTCACATATTTTGAAAACACACTCACTTTCTCACTTATTTAACTTACAAACTTTACTCATCCTGCCCAGCTTCTCTATATATTCAATTGAATTAATCAATATAAATTGAATCAAATAAATATTGTATTGATATTTTTGATGAACTCTCATTCTCTCTCTTTCCCCAAATAGGTACGTAAAATAGTGTGACAGTTTCTCTCTCAATAATTGTGTGTTCACAAAAATCTGCCAGTGGCGCGCAGCAGCTTTGTTTACTTGTTGCATTTTCTCTCAATTCATATTTGAATTAACAATGGCCACACTTGCTACAAGAATAAAACATAGCATTGCTCAAAGACAAATAGAAATAATTAAACTCAATGAACTGAAAAAGGTTGCTGATACTGCTTCTGGTGAACAATCGGTTCATGATAATTTCAAGTGCCGATACAGATATATCGACACAATTCGGGACAATTTCGGAAAGGTACACTCATCTTTGATAAATTTACTTTCAACTCAAGAAGATGCCAATTTGGATGAGCAAAATCAGATTTTAATTGAATTTGAAAACGATTTTTATCATATCATGACAGTTTATAAACTCTTGTTCGGTGATGATGATGCTCAACCATTTCCATCTCCTGATCCTCCCGGTCAGCATAACGTAAGACTTCCAAAAATGGAATTACCCTCGTTCGATGGAGATGTCAAGGGTTGGCAAACTTTTATCGATATGTTCGACTCTATTGTTCACTATAATGACAAGCTCTCTAATATTGAAAAGTTTACTTATTTAATCAGCTCATCAAAAGGCTCTCCCTTGCAATTAGTTAAATGTACCCCTTTGGCAAGCCAAAACTATTTAGTTGCTTACCAGGCTCTCAAAAATCGTTATCAAAATACGAGACTCATTGCCACGTCTCATTGGCATTCAATTATTAACACAAAAAAGATTACAAATCCCGAAAGCTCTCACTCACTGCGGCAACTATTGGATACGTTTAATGAAAATATTGCTGTTCTCGAAACTATGAAATTTCCTACTAAAAAATGGGATTTTATTCTGTTCAATTTGCTGTTTGATCGCCTGGATTCCGCGACAGCGACTCGGTTTGAACTTGAGCATTCTGCTCTGCCTGATGAGGAATTCTATAAAACTTTGGTAGTTTTTTTGAATAGGCAGTGTTCAGCTCTGGAACTTCAACATTCTTTACCAACTCTAATCAGAAACTAATCTGTCAGGTTTGCCAAAGGGAGCACTCAATTTATAATTGTCCAAGTTTTCTCTCTAAAACTCTCGAGGAACGGTACAATCTGGTGAAGGGGAACAAGTGGTGCACTAATTGCTTAGGCTCGAAGCATACCTCTCTTAATTGCACCTCGAAAGGTTTTTGCAGACTGTGTACGTCTCCCAAAAAACATCATAGTCTTCTACATAATCCATCCCCCATACAAAATGATATTCCCAACTCAGCTCCCACCACCTCTCGGGAAACACAGCCCCCTCAGACTACTCTCGAAAATATTAATCGTACGAATACCAATTCTCTAGCCATTAACGTTGCCAGCGATATTCCTGGTACAGTTCTTCTCTCTACTGCTGTTGTAGAGGTTCTTGACAGCCAAGGCTTCCACCAACCAGTCAGGATTCTTCTTGATAGCTGTAGTCAAAGTCACTTCATCTCAACCAAATGTTGTACTAAACTTGGTCTCTCTCGTCGTCGACTATCTATCGATGTACGGGGCGTTGGAAAAATCAGCACTCATGCAACACAAGGAGTAACTTGTACCCTCAAACCAAGAAATAAATCTGAACCCAAATTCACTCTAGATTTGGTGGTTCTTCCTCAAATATGTTCCAATCTTCCGGCAGTTTCTTTCTCAAAAGAACCCTTCTCTGTATTTTCTAAATTAGATCTCGCTGACCCCACCTTCAATGTGTCACAACCAATCGATATACTTCTAGGAGCTGACATTTTTGCCTGTGTGTTGAAAGGTTCTTCTCATCTACATGACTTAGATAAT